GAGAAAGTAACTAAAAGTATAACATAAAATAAAAATCATAAATTAACAAATGAGAAAAAAATAATTTAAAAAAGTGAATCTAAATATTATTAAACACTTCTTTATATACAACATTTGTGGTTTTCTATCGTCAGAATCCCCATCACAACCAATCATTATCGTTAAACCCTTTCGACTCGTGACTCTAGGATTTAATTTTTCAAAATATTTGATGTATCTTTGTAATATCTGATTTTTTTTATTATTGTATGACTGCAATAGAAAATAGAGATATTTATATTCATTCTTAATTGATTGTGAAATATGTACCTATATAATACCAAAAAATATATAGTATCAAAATAAAACCAAAAATATTTCGTATTTCAGGACATAAAAAGACATTACATAAATGGGCACATTCCAAAATGAGACTTGTCAAAATAAATTGTGTAACTGAAAGTTACATATTTTTATTAAATGATGAACATAATTTTATTAAATGAACACCTATTTTTATTAAGTGAACTCATATTATTATTAATTGTTGGCTGAATAAAATTTATTGAAGCTTGGCAGCAATTATATATATATAGATACAACAATAACGAGACCTCAAACCTTCAAATTACTGGAAAAAAAATAAAAGAAACTCTATACTTATGTTATAATGATTTTTTATTTATATACTATTTCTTTATTAATATTGGGAAAAAATGCAATCTATATATATATAATAAAAATAAACTTTAAATCATACTAAAAATAATAATTTATCCTTTAAAAAAAATATTTATAAAAATCAGATTTAAACATACAATCTGTTTTTTGTTAAGCATGTATATGGGACATGTAAATATTAAATAAACAAAAAACTCATCGCGTGTCATTTATATAATCATGTTTTCAAAAATCCCTTGTCAAAATTTGTTACGTCTGTATAAGACAATATAGATTTCTTCGAATAATATATATATATATATATATATATATATAGAATTTAATAAAACATTTAATAAAATCTCATTTCGATTTCCCGTCAAAAACCGTTACAAACTTTATCATTTATATATCTCTCTATATTTAATTACTAACAATAAATTTAATAATATTAATTGTTGTTTACCATCATTTTATTTTACAATCTTCTATTATTATTATTATTAATCATCCATATCTAATTAATGCGAAAATATTTCATTGCACTATTTTTAGGGTCAATTAAGACAAAACCCGTTACATTTTATATTAATTGAATAATAATTATACTATTTTATTGTATCATATAGTAGTTATTATTAAAATTAATAACTATAGTTTACACTAAATGATATATGAAAGTCACATAAACGTAAAAAATTATTGTAAACTTTTTGCTAAAGTTAATTATTGTAAAATTAATATTATATTTTTTTATCTTATTTATCGATTGTATTTTTAAATAAGTTAATTTCTTTTAATGTTATAGTAAAATTCCTTAAAATCGCATAATCAAATGTTATAATAAATTTAATATTTTTAAGCTAATAAATTGGCGATCTCTCAAAATTACATTATTTATTATATTTTATGTAATTAATATAGTGGTTCATATGCAATCAAATAGTTATGTACGTTCTTCTCCAGGGACTGAACTTCGCTTCGCTTCGTTTGTTCGGTCGAAAGGTTAACCAATTATCAAATTATAAAACATAATATCATTATCTAATTTATAATTTTATTATTATATGCATAAATATAACTTATAATACTCTATGTTTAAAATATAATATCATTGTATAATTTATAATTTTAATACTATATGCATAAATATAACTTATAATATTCTATTTACACTGTGCAAATGCACAGGTTCGAATACTAGTTTTAGTAAACCCAGAAGTGTGTTGTCATTTCAAAATTTCCATTATCATTTAATAAAATTAGTAATCTTTTTTAAAAATTTTCAAAAAAATCCCATTTCTATAAATTAATTAATCAATTTATGGTATTAATTTGGAAAAATTAATGAATGTGGCTTTGGTATAAAGTGATCGATTTTATTTTACATATCTGGTTGATATTTTTTTTTTTTGGCAGGAAATGTGTTGTTATTAATAAATGATCAAATTTATGGTATAACATGGACGATTTTAGTTTGGTATGAAATGTGTGAATTTAATTGGTATGAATTTTATTTAGTATAGATATAAGTGTACTTGAAAATTTTGAAAACAAAATAAAGTGGTATGAATTTTATTTGGTACGGATATAAAAGACGAATTTCAGATTGTTTTGTTATAAATTAAGTTAATATGATTCTCAAATGTTAGCATACTCCCATAGTAATTTGTCATAAGATATTGAAAATAATTTGGCAAATTGGTATGTATTCCTTTTGAAAATAAGAAAGATCTTTGAACAAATATCGCTTAAAAAAATTAAAATTTGTAATTTATTATCAGAGAACTGTTGATAAATTCGAAAAATAAGCTATCGACAATAAATCTAGAAAATTGTGAGATACAGTGTGTGTGTGTGTGTGTGCGTGTGTGAAATATATAAGGGAATTTAATATGTAGTCCAAATTTGAATTCTGAATTTAGAAGTCAAATAAGTAATTATTCATAATTTATGGGTCAATATTAACTTGAACGTAAATAAAATAGTTAATCATTCATAGTTTAATCAAATTATGCAACTATTTGTTTTTTTATTTATTTTGGATAGTTTACACAAATAAATTTATTTTAATTAATGAAACAATATAAATTTTGAATTATACTTATTATTCACATATTTTTTTAAATATATGATAAAATTTTACCAAAATAATTATTTTATGAAATCACATTGTAGCCATAGAATTTCTGATTAAGAAATTTAAAATAGCACTTATTTTGAAATGAGCATAATGTAATTTATTATCGATTACGTGAGCCGTACGAATTGTGTACTAATTTTAAATAGACATATTTTATATGATTTTGCACAATTTAGATTTCACACAATACTTTGATTAAATTAATACAGGTAAATGATATTACATATTGGTTTCATATTTTTTATTTATAAATATTATTTAATATGTATTTTTTATTTATAAATATTAATATATATCTCTTGTCCGTGTATCGCACGAGATTCATACTAGTGACTATAGATGCATGTAAGACAATTGTTATAATGATATTTTATTTTACAATGATTTGATAAGGGAAATAGACTCAATAGTAAATAGTAAACTGTATGACAGTTTTTCACGTAAGCCCAAGCAAGAAAAGAAAAAGTTACAATTCCAACTAAATTGAATGGAAACAATATTCTAACAGAAAGTAACTTTCTCTACAAAAAAAATCTAGTTATAACTTTTTTCTAACAATTTATTATTGTAAGCATTTCGTTGGAATATATGATGTTTGTTTTAATTATTCTATTAGTCTTCCAAGAAAAATTATAACTTTGGATATCTATTGAAATTACGTTTGGATTTTGTTGTGATATATTTACATTAGAATTTTATCATTTTGTAGTAAGAAACATTACTATAAATTGTAAATTATTTTCACAACTACTTGACAATTGGATGGGCTTATGAGTTATGAACGAATGCTATATTGTTATTATATATTTTCAAAGCTATGGCAGTATATGGAATTAATACAGATATTCACTAATTGTCCAACAATAAGCGTACCACACGCGAGCGTCATTGTTTTGTATTTTGCGAGTTGCACTTTCAATAGAGTACATGTAAAATTTAAAATATAACTAGAGTTATTTTCGTTTATTAGGTAAAACTCACGTATAGTTTTAGATATGTATTTTTATAGATTGATAAGATTATTCAAACCTAAAAGCTCTAATATTGATTGGAGTTCTCCCAAATCCATGACTACCATGTGAGTTCCCTCATCTCTAATTAATTACTTAATTATTTATTTAATTTGTTATGAATAGGTCAAAATCTTGGTACTCGATTTTGATCTTTTATAGTTGGATTTTAGGTTAATAACTTCTACTCCTTATTTTTGTTATTTGTTACTCTGACTTAATTGATCATTGATTAAATAAATATCGTTTTCACTATTTTGTTCATATATTTACATTTTTAACCTTCCATCTAATACACAATGTATCTTCATATCCCATATCCATCGTTTCCCACATCCATTAAATAGGATTAATCAAGAAAAGAAATTCTTAATTAGCGTGTTGCTTCTCAAAACGACACATAATAAAAATATGAGGAGTATTTTTTTCTTTATTTCTTTGTCTTCATTACGATAGAAGAGTTAAGTAAGAGTGTGTTTGATAAGCACTAAAGCTAGTTTACGACTCATTTGATTGACTTATAAGTTTCATGTATTGTTAGTTCTTCCCATTCAAGTAGACAAAGAACATTGACCTAAAGATCCCCTAACGAAATCTCAAACTCAAAGTGGACCAAAGCTATTTAACACCAAAAATGACAAGTGCGCACAAGTATTAATTGACCCATGTACTCTATCATAAATTTCATATACGAGACTCCTGTAATACTGACGTCATAAATCCATTAATGCCCCCGACATTATTTATGAAAGGCAGCTCAATTTAAAATTTTGGTTTAAATTCTTTTTATTGTTATTTTTTTTTTCCTTGCGCGCACGCACAAATAATTAAGCACGCAAAACCCAGATTGATCAGTAAGGATTTTAACAAAAATCTATTTCCAGTAAGTAACTGCATGTAGTTTTCAACTCAAAGTTTATTAGAAAAAATATATACTAAGAAGAAGAAAAATAAATAAATTTTGTTACTTATTCATATGTCCCACTTACTAATTTTATAACATATGTAGCCACCTTTATTTAATTCTTGTAACCCTATATAATCATCCTCTCCACACACCCTACTTCAATGTGTGGAGAAAAAGCTCTAAATATATCTTATATTGCTAGATTTGAAAAGTTCTTATTAGCTTAAAACTTACCTTTTTTTTTTTCAAATCTTTGGTATTTGACAGTAGCAAACTAAACAAAACAAAAAGAAACTAAAAAATGGGAAGATTAAATGCTCATGATAAAATGGAGTTGAAGAAAGGGCCATGGACTCGAGAAGAAGATCAAAAACTTATAGTTTATATTGAAGAGTTTGGCCATGGAAGCTGGCGAACCCTACCTGCAAAAGCCGGTAAATTTTATTTTTTTATTATTATTATTATTATTATTATTATTATTATTGTTATTTTCTCCTTTTGTGGTCAAATTATTTTCTCCTTTTCTCTCATTAATTCAGGTTAAATGATTTTGATTGACCAATTTTAATTTGTTCTATGTGTGATTTAGGGTTACAAAGGTGTGGCAAAAGTTGCAGATTGAGATGGACAAATTACCTAAGACCGGATATCAAGCGAGGAAAGTTTAGCGTTCATGAAGAGAAAGCCATTATTCGGCTTCATGCGCTTTTAGGCAACAGGTGAATAAGGACCATTTACATCATATTCTTTCTGTCGTTTAGTGTTTTATCTTATATTTGAATGAAATGTATAGTTTTCACGTTAAATATTACTTATGAGTTGTCTCATATTGATTAAAAAGATTAAAAAAAAATGAGTCTAGTTTATATGTTTATTGAATTATTTTGTCAATTGATTTTGAGATGCAACCAATTTTAACGTATACCGTCGTGAAAATATGTTTGAGATATGAAAAGGACTATATATATATACTGTTGTTATGGAATAAATGATAGCTAAAAAAATTAATAATAGAGATGCATGAAACTCATTTTGATTTTCGAAACTTCTCTAAAACAAATACTAATTATTGGATTTACTATGGATGAAAAACTTTCCATTAGAAATAAATGTTTAGAAAGAAATTTAGAGAGACTATAAATTGAAAAGTATAATTTGATGTAAGATGTAAATGTAATCACTATAGGTAATGTAATGTAAAAAATAACAGAAATAACAAATAACAAACAGAAATATAATATGTAAGCAGAATAACAATAAATTTTATAAGAACATGTGTATTAAATATTAATGCTTGAGCTTATTTAAAAAATTAGGGACAAAATTGAGGGAAAATGAAATGATCGAATAATGCATCATATAACATTTTTATTTTGGTTTAAAAAAATGTATATATAATATANTGAAAATTGCATGTAAGTGCCAAGACCCAAAACATTACAAAACAATAATAAGAAATGCAGATCAAGATATATCACACTTAAGTAATTTCAAAAACCAATCTATACTTATATAATAAGAATTACTACCTCTTTTTTTTTTTATAAATGTCATTTTGGCTTTATCAACAATTGTCTAAATAAATGACGTTTTGGATCTTTTGTACATATTTTTCCATTATTACCCTTATCTAGCTAATAAAATCTTTTCATATTAACTCTTTATATTTTCTCAAAACATCCATCTCTATCCTCATTAATGAGGGTTATTATTGGCAAAAAAAATATTCTTAATTAGTGTGCAACTTCTCAAAACGACATCTATTAAAAAAAGGAGGGAGTAATATTTATCCAAAATAGTAGGTCAAATTATGGTCAATGTCGGATTTGCATTAAATATTTTCCAAAATCGGTAAGTTTTTGTCCTTTTCACACTTCTCATTAATTATGTTATTTTCACACTTCTCATTAATTATGTCCTTTTTCTAACTTCTCATTAATTATGTCCTTTTCACACATCTAATTAATTCATTAATTACGACATAATTATCATAAATCATTCCATCTGAGCTTTTATCATTAAAATGTATAGCGGTCTATTATGACCTTATCCCATTGATATTTCCATGAAGCGTCCTTATCGCGTTCTATTTTTTGGTAACCACTCTATATCAATAACCGGATATTAGGTTAATGATAGCACACGTCTTTATTTCAAGGAGCGGATATTCTTTGACCTTTAATTAATCTGAACTGATAGCCTTGACTTTTCAATTTTTACAAACTCTTTTTTTAAATATTTCGACTTAAGATTCGGATTTCATTATACAAGTCATCGGATTGTTTGAATGAAAATGAATGAAAAGAACACAAAAAACAGGTAGCCCTATTCATATAACCAATCCTAAAATATTAGTTTGTTCACCAAAAAGAGACAAATACTAGAAATCCTAAAATATTTTTTGTTCACCAATCCTAAAATATTAGTTTGTTCACCAAAAATATTAGTTTGATTTTTAGGATTTGTCTCTATTGAAAATATTAGTTTGTGATAATGAGGAGTTACCAAATAATCAAACGCATAATGTTGTGTACAAGGAGGTTTTTAATAATATATGTTTGTTACCGAAATTTTTATGATTCAACAATGTTCCTATGTATTTTAAAGATTTCAATTTCGATCCTAATGCACGTGAGATTATATTATTCTTCCAAATTTTACATCCCGTGTATCGCACGGGTTACGTACTAATCATACATACATTTATTTCACCATATTATTCTCATCAATCTATATTAGAATATTCACTTGTGAGTTATCTCACATCGTTTATATAGGGAAAATTGACCTAATTTATAAGTCTAATGGGCTACTCCTCCTTCCACCAATTAGTTTTGGGATGGAACCCTACTTGGGCTTCATCTGGGCTTTCCCTGCTTATGGTGCGCTTCATCTGCGTGGGACCACACCCGTTTCTGCCCCGTTACTTACAATTTCAATCACCCTTACCACAATGAATTATGCATGGCCACAAATACTAACTTTGGTTCGTTAATTTGTTCCTCATAACCTCAGGTGGTCCGCCATAGCAACTCACCTGCCCAAGCGTACGGACAATGAAATCAAGAACTACTGGAACATCCGCCTCAAGAAACGCCTAGCCCGCATGGGCATCGACCCAACCACCCACAAGCCCAAGGAAACCGGGCCCACTGGGCCCTCACGACAGTCTGCCGCCATCGTCAGCCACATGGCCCAGTGGGAGAGCGCTCGACTCGAGGCCGAGGCGCGACTCGTCCGCGAGTGTCGGATCCTCTCCAAGCTCCGGCTCCTCCACGAAACTGCCAGTCGGGCCCAGCCGCTCCCTCCGGCGGCTGCCTCGTCGCCGCCATGCCTGGACGTTCTCAGGGTATGGCAGGGAACGACCGTCGGCCGAAACTGGTTTTTCGGGTCGCCGACCTCAACATTAAATTTTGTCGGGGATGCCGTTAGGGTTTCTGAGGGTGTTGATGGCAAAATGGGGAATTCGACATTGCCTGTCAATGAGAGTATGTTTTTTGCGGATATTAATGGTTGTGTTAGGGTTTCAGAGGGTGTTGAGGGCAAAATGGAGAATTTGACACTGCCGATCAGTGACAATACGTGTTGGGTGGATTGCAATGATTCCGTTGAGATTTCGGAGGCTGTGGAGGGCAAAATGGAGAATTTGACACTGTCGATCAGTGACAGTATGTATTGGGTGGATTGGAGTGATTCTGTTAAGGTTTCGGAGGGTGTTAAGGGCAAAATGGAGAATTCGATATTGTCGGACAATGACAATATGTTTTGGGTGGATTGTAATGATTGCATTAGGATTTCGAAGGGTGTTGAAGGTAAAATGGAGAATTCAACACCGCCGGGCAGTGGCAGTATGTGTTGGGTGAATTGTAATGATTACATTAGAGTTTCGAAAGGTAGCGAGGGCAAAATGGAGAATTTGACTAAGGAGAATTTGACTAAGTCGATGGTTTGTAATAATACGTGTTGGATGGATTGTGTCGACAAAAATAATGTTGGATTAGTTAATATGCCATTAATGAAAAATGATGAGTACTCAATAAATGGCGACGGGTTGTATAATTCGGGAAGCAGGTGTGTTGGGGAATTTGAAGACATCAAGAATTATTGGAGCGAGTTATTTGATTTAGTCGCTTCACCTTTATAAAGTGGGAAAAAATAAAGATCATTGTAATTTTATTTACAATATTTATGTAACTCCTAGAGTTGAACTTTCTTTCTTTGTTTTTATTTTTTACTTTTAATTTATTGGGTTCTTGTATGTGTTAGCATGTGGGTCCTTGATCGTTTTTCTCTTTTTAGTTAANTTTTTTTTTAATTTAAACACTGCCTTTTAATTTCTTTTTTACAATCAAAAGTACTAATTTAACTTTTCTTTGCAAATTGGGAATCCAATGCAAAATGCATGTAAATGCCAGGGCCCAAGCTCGGAGCTTATAATTTAACTTACACGTGTAATAATATCATTGGATATAAATACAACTAGTACAACCCGTGTATTACACGAGTACTTATGAAAAAATTATTCTTAAATTTTAAAATTAATAAGAAAAATTATTTTAAATTTTATTTACTTTTACAAAAAATATCTATTATTATATATTTTAGAATGACACTTGTTACTTGTGTGACTTACATGTGTTATATTATAATAATTTTTATAACATATATCATATAACTACTTGAAATATAAACATATTAATTCATAAATAATTTTATTTTTCTAATGAATATTAAAAAATAATTTTATTATTGTTATAAAGATAGATATAATTTTTTTTATACATACAATATAGATGTTAAATTGAAGCTCGTCAAGAGAGGATTAATTTGATATGTTATATATGTAAAAGTGATAAAAAATACAAAAGTTATTATCTTCTAAAATATATTTACAATTAAATAGTTATAATAAAAAATAATATAAGAATGCAATTAATACATGTAACATAACCATAAATAATTAACATATTTATGGATAATCCAAACCTAATCGTTTTTAGTTTGGAAGTAATTAAAATCTATCCAAACCTAATAAGCAAGCATGTAATTTTGGCACATAGAATTTCGAAACATACGAGTCTGTTATTTAAGCTCAGCACGTTCTGAATTAATATAGAGAGGGAAGGGGGATTTTCACAATAATAAAAAAGATAAATAAACTATAGTAACGGAAAATCTCTTGTACATGTAATCGTGGAATAGGAGTATACTTCTAATCAAATTGTCTCTTTATCCTTTTAATAAAGTACAACTATAAAATCTTCTCTCTTTAATCTCTTTTTCGCTCTTTGTCAACTGCAAAAACTCTCAATTATCTAATAAAAAATTGTAGCTTTTCCCTATAATTTTTTTTATTTTATTTTTTGTTCTTGGTTCTCACGTTACTATGAAAATTCAACTCCAAAAACAGAGTATTTTTTTCCTGTTTTTGGTCTCGATTTTGTTGCTATGGACACGGGTCGGATCCATCCGCTTCGATATGGAGTCGGGTCAATCCAAATGTATAGCCGAAGATATTACGAGCAGTTCAATGACGATTGGGAAGTACACAATCATAAACCCTAATGAGGGGCAGGATTTGCCCGATACCCATAAAATCACTGTCCGAGTAATGTTTTATTTTAATTCTGATGTTTATTGTGTATAGATATTTGTATCATGATTTTTTCTCTTTATTTTATTTTTTATGGGAATTAGGTTTTATGTTGAAAAAAAATTGAATCTTTTTTGTATGTAGATTTCACTTGCAATGGTTTTGTTAAATGTTGTTTAGTTTGTGTTCTTTATTTTTGGAATGATGATGTTTGATTTCGCTTAACCCTCTTAGGTTCAATCGACTTATGAAAATATATTATATCACTCTTCGGACCACGTGACTGAAGGGCAATTCGCATTCGAAACGGGCGAGGCAGGTGATTACGTGGCTTGCTTTTTCGTGGCCGAGCAAAATCCTCCCGTTTCATTCACCGTGGATTTTGATTGGAAATTCGGTTTTGCGGCTAAGGATTTGGTCAATGTTGCGAAGAAAGGTTCGGTTGAAGTAAGTTACTATTTTCTCTTTTTGTATATAATGTTTGTCCATCTTTGTTGTTCATGCTTTCTGACACAATTATCAATCGAATACCTGTTTTTTTTTTTCTTTCCAATTTTACCTAATAAAAAAAAACATTAATTTGCCAATTATTGTAAATTATGGAACAAGAAAGTCTTGATCCTAGCTTTCATCGTGTGCTATTGGGAACGAAATTGAACTTGAGATGTTTATGCTTTGAATTTTGTTGTGTTTGCTGTGGTTTATGATATATTCTTGGTTTGTTATATATATATATATCAATTTGATCATGCTTGTGAGAGATGAAATATGAAGTTACTTTCTTCTATTTTCTTCAACTTTTGACTAATCTTGCCTTTTTCTTTTTACATTTGTTGTTTATTGTCACCAGTCAATGGAATTGGAATTGAAGAATATGTTGGGTACAGTCCAGTCCATTCACGATGAGATGTTTTATCTTCACAAAAGGTGATTTTTTCTTCTAAAGAATTTTTCCAATGTTTCGCGAATAAATACAACAATTCTAGCTCGGAAGTTTGAAAAACTCATTGGTTCTTGTTACAGGGAAGAAGAAATGCAGCAACTTAATGTATCTACAAACTCGAAAATGGAATGGTTATCATTACTGTCAATTCTCATCTCGGTATCTGTGGCGGGACTGCAGTTTTGGTACCTGAAAATATTTTTTCAGAAGAAGAAGATTATTTAATTTAGTTCTTACATATTTCCATAGTTCTTACATCTTGTTAACTTGTGGCCAATTGGGCATATTACTTAATGGAAGTATAGATGGAAATATTGTCTATCTTTCTTGGCTGTTCTGTTTTGGCTTTTTAAATCTTGAATTGTGTACACAACTCCTGGATAAAAACTTGAAGTTCAAAATTTTCTTTTAGTTTTGGCTATTAGATGTTGATAAAATAATGAAAAGGGAAAAGGAATAACTGTGAATGGAGATGTAATGTTCTAAGGTGAGTTGGGTCCAAATGGAACTTCGTGAAATTTTGGGATTCTTTGAGTTCCTGGAGAAGCCTTTTGAATCATGTTTAGGTTCGGTTATGTCTGCAAACGAATAAACAGCTCATGGCTCGTGTGTGCTCGACAGCTCGAGTCAAAGCTTGACCCGACCTCGAGCACTCATTTTATAAACTCGAATGCTCGACAGGCCACCTGATTATAAGTGTAATTCTTCTAATACTTCTAATTTGATCAAAATTCGAGCAAGACTTCAAAGTAAATTTGAGCCAAATTCGAGAGAGAGAGAGAGAAAAAAAAAAAAAAACTTATTTGAATAGAAACTTTTTTTTTCTTATTATTAAAAATTCAAGCTGAATTCAAGCAAATTTTAAAGTGATGGAATTTGAGCAATCCTCGAGCATTTATATATTTTTGTTCGAGTAGAGTCGAGCCTTAAAAAGTTCGGCCCGTGGAGCTTGAAATTGAGTTCAATAATGGCTTTGCTCAACTCCATTGCAGTCTCAAGTTCAAAACCACCCCTACACATAATGGTAAACGAGAAGTAATAATGAACGAAAAATATAATCCATAAAATTATAAAATCTTCATTGACAGTTGGTAAATAATTTCCTAAAAAGAGGATGATTTCTCCTTAANCTGCATCGTATATACACCCAAAACAAAATAAAGGAAAAGTATAGAAATAAAGATTTAAAAAAAAAAAAAAAACATACAATTCAAGTCTTCGACGGTTGATAACTATGGACGCACTCATAGCAAGCACAACGAAGCTAATATTTCCAAATGATTTAAAAATGTGTGTTCCCACAATCAAATTCCACAGCAAGTAATAGCTCGAATAATTCCATGGCAGAGCCTATTTGCAATATCACCTTATTCTTCTTCGACTGAGATTGAATATATGATATCCTGTACAAGTCAGGTTTTCACATCACGATGAGAATATATGCCAGTGGTGATCGGACGGAAGATTTTCCTTGATTTTTTCGAGCCTCTTTAAAATCTCCAAAAAAGTAGGTCTCTGGTTCATGTCAGCTGACCAGCACAATGTGGTTAGCCTGCACACCATTTTCAGTTCGGGATTCGTTAGGACAGCTTTTCATATGTTCAAAATAGCTTCTTATTATTTAGATTGATGAACAATTTGTGCTGAATGTATAGGCAAATGCTATGAGCATGGTGCGAAGAGTGACGGTGTTTTTACATAGACTCCTCTGATTCTGGGTTTTGGCCTAATTACCAAAAAAACGAATACAGAAAAATCATACATTCAAAATTACTAGAGGAAAAAAGAAATTGACACCTAACATAATGTCTTTTTTTACCAGAACCAGAGGTTAGGAGGCGAATTGATGAGATGAAAAGCAAATGCCGATGAAACTGCTGAAGCTAAGAAAAAAAAACATATGCCACGTAAAACTAACCCTTTTCTTTTAATATAAAATGGGTCTACATTATAAATACCCTCCGAGTTTTGGCCTTTGGGTTATTGTTATATCTTGTTCTTTATATTTTTTTTTTATTTATGCTTGTGCAAATTACCAAAATCAATAAGTGCAATTTGTATTTACGAAAGATAGTTGTATTTTTATATAAATTGAAATTAGACTACACTGTAGGGGAGCTTCAGTAACCTTTTTTTTCTTCTGTTTATTGTGTTAGTTATAAAACTAGATTCCTTTTTTCCATATCACGAGTTATTATCACTGAAAATACTTACTCCCGCAATTCAGGAATAAAACCTTTTGCCCTAAACATGGGCCTGTGTCCTTCTGCTACATATCTGGCCGCTTCATATGGTTCATAATTTGACAAAGGAGGTTCACCTTCAAGCATCTGCACCGAATAAATAAAATTTCTTTACCTAATGTTTCGATTTAGCAAAATTAATTATATGGCACACAGTATCAAAATTGTTACCTCGTACAATATCATCGCAAAGGAGAAAACATCGACTTTTTTGTCATATTTCCGGTGCTTGAAGACCTCAGGCGCCATGTAGCGGTCTATTCAAAATTACATTGGAAAGATAGTAAAAATTTTAACAAACAATTAAACCCCATGATGTAAATCCACATGATTTTTTACAAAGCCACTCACAGCTTCCAGTCTCGCCAGTCATTTTGTACACGTCATGAGAATGTTGTACTCTGATCAGCTTGCTTAAACCGAAATCTCCTACTTTTAAATGGTCCGCACTTGTGTTTACAAGTAAAACATTCCTGGAAATATACCTTTTTTAGAAAATAACAGTTTCTTATTGTAAAGAGACAAGTGTAAAATATCAGTCAATTGCATTTGAAAATCTGAAAGATAGGTATTTGACAGAGGTATTTGACAGTCTGAAAGATAGCCATTTGAAATTCAGTGATCATTTTCTTCAGAAATAGAAGTATTGGATCAAAAAGTTCTGGCATGGTTAGCAAAACCAATTTATAAGTCAAGTTTACCAAATGTGAAACCAACTGACCTTGGTTTAAGATCTCTGTGTATTACAACATTTGGCTCACTGTGAAGATAAGCCATGCCTCTATATACAAACAAGAGTTCACAAATCAGCAATGACACAAGTGTATGTTGATGAACAAAATGTCAAAATAACATAGGTTGGATTTATGCACAATCATTCCATAATTCTGTTGGTAAAGTGAGCTTCCTCGATGATCATAAATGGTATACCTCATAATTAAAGAAGAGGCGGAAGAGGAAGGCAACAAAAACGATGAAGAAATAAAATTTGAAAATTGGAAGGAAACATCAAATGTGTTGAGGGTAGTCGAAATACAATCTCACTCAAGGTATCCACTGATATTAGTAATTTCTGACGTGAGACATATCAAAATGTGAGAAATTCTTCAGTGAAAAGTACAAAAACAACTGTTATTTTACCTGGCCATATCCATTGCAAAATTGACTGCAGTTGTTGGATTCAACGCCCCCTTTTCCTTCAGATACTGATGCAGATCACCCTATGAAAAGAATAAAATGAGATAGCCCAACATTATGACATGTTGAAGTTAAATAATATGTACTTCCACACAACTTTAGGGGGAAAATTCACTTACCCCTCTCAAATACTCAGTGACTAACATTAAGGGCTTCTTTTCTGTTACAGCTCCTAGAAATTGGACTATATTTGGATGCCGAAGCTTCACAAGCAAATTGACCTCGTGCCGGAAGTCCTGACTGAACATTGAGCAAGAAATAAGACAAACTTACTTTAAGAAAGGGGAAAAGACGAAGTATATGCCTATACTATATGCAATTTCACTTACTAGAGAAGCCTAAGTGAAACCCACATATCAAAATAAACTGGTTCGAGCCCCCCAATCAGGCATGAAAAGTGGAATAAATAACATAATACTGAATAAAATAGAATGAAAAATTGGAAGTTTGAAAGCACGGAAAAGTATCATACATTACTAGTCTATCATCTGAAAGGCTTGGAAGTATTCGCTTGACAGCTACCGGTGTTCCTCTCCAACAAGCTTTCACTATCTCCCCAAAAGACCCCTATGAATAACAAGAGTCACCAGCAAGAATGAGCTAGGTGCAAAAATAAAAATTAAAAAAAGAAAAGGAGGAAAAAAGTCCAAACATATGCATGTGTGTGTGTGTGTGTGTGTGTGTGTGAGAGAGAGAGAGAGAGAGAGGCCAAAGAGGTGAGCGACAATTTCTACAGCCAAGCTCAACTAACCACTGCCATCTCGATTATCGACTCAGAAGATAAAGTTGGAAGCGGGATGAGGGATAGGATAACCAAAACAAGAAGTATGATTTGACTTCATATTGATACATTATCATGATATATAAAGAAGATGCTCAAAACTTAATAAGGTAGAGAAGCCAGGCATAACATGGTTTCTTCAAAGATTAATTAATGGTTTCTTCAAATCAAAGTTGGTCACAGAGCAACAGGAATATAATTTTTGACTTGGTGAAAGTGCCAAAAAGGGAAAGGGAAAATAGAAATTGATTCAAGAAAAGACTGATTTTATAACAGATTAGAAACGGCAATGACCAGATTTGTTTTGCGATAAAATGAACCAAACAATCTTATAAGATTATTTCATAAAACTCTTATATGACTAGTTCATATCCAAAGAGTTATGCATTTGGTCATCAGACAATCCAAGAATAGATGCAAACCTTTCCCACGAGCATAGCATTCGAGAAATCCAGCTCACCAGGATCAATTTCCCAGTCACACTTTTTTGGCAGAGGGGGTGGTACAGGTCTTGGTTCAAAATGACTACCATTTTGTCCCTGCAACATGCCCAGTAATAATAAGTTCTAAAGAAAGCAAGTGAAGAATTTTTATTTTTCTTCTGCCTCGGGTAATCATCATTAGACAAATTAAAAATCACGAGACTTACATAAGATAATCCACCATGGGATTTTAATAATTCAATCATGGCAAGCCTTTTTGCTCCTTCCGCATCAGCTAACGGCTGCAATAAATTAAAGTTCAGATAAAATGCAGCAATGTGTAGACCTCGAATAGGAAGGATAAAGAGGATCCATCAGTAACAATTGTTCACTCCGTATCAATGATAACAATAGTTCAAAAAATCAGGCTAACGGATGTTATAAGCGTGCAGAGTGACGAAGCACCATAATAGAAACAGAAATATCATTTAATATAACATAAGAAATTACGTCCTGCGGCTCGGGAACTAGCAAGGTTTGGTCTGGTAAGTTAAAATGCAAGTAAATGCATTGCAGGTGTCTAATACAAGCTTAAGCCTCAGTTATAATCTACGGTTTACTTTGACGTTCTTGGCCACCGCCAACAGGAAAAAAGCACATTGACCCACACTTTCATAGCCCATTAAACAGCATCAGAACATTTTACCAAGCACTACACAAAGTAGTAAGTTTCCTTGATAATCTTTGTACAATATCTTGATCTATAAGCAGGGGACCTTACACTAATTATAATACAAAACTCAGAGTCCTCCACAAAAACAAGCACATTTCTTAGTGATATAAACACAGCTAAAACGCCAAAAAATGCCCCATATTTCATCACAAAGACAGTACAAAACTACCAGTGTCCCGTTCAAAAAGCTAATACTAATCACGGATAAGATCCCAAACAAAAACTGCACAGACACGAATTCAATCTACACAAGCACAAATATAAGTCGGATTGGAACCGTGTTTTTCCACCGATCCTGGGCGTTGACGTCGGCATCGTACTCGAGGAGGCACCTGGCGACGTCGATCCAGCCGTGGATGGCCGCCACGTGGAGAGGAGTCCGGTCATCGTAGTCCCTGGCGTTCACCAGCGACCGGTCCTCCTCGAGGAGCTTCCGCACGGCCGCCGTGTCGTTCTGGTGCGCCTGCCACAGGATCAGGGACGTCCGGCTCACGCGCGTCTTCTCCTTCTTCTTCACTCTCTCCGTCGCGGCCGCCGCCGAGTCGCTGGCGGCCGAGTGCCCTGAGCTGCCCTCGCTACCACTCATTTGGGGGGGGGATTTGGACTCTATGTTGAGTTGAATACTCGATTTTAGATTTTCCAATCGGTTTTGCCCAAATGTGGTCGCGTGTGAAAAGTGAAAACCCGCAACCGACAACTCAAAACTGTTCAGTTTGACGGCTTATTTATTATTAGTGTGCCAAAGAATAAAAATAATTTTATTGAAGGTATAAAATATTATCCAT